AAGCAGCAGGCTATTGATTTATTTAGATTTTTTTTTTAGATATTGTTTGGCTTTCATTAACTAGGACGTGGTCAGTATTCAGACAATGAATAGGCTTTCTGTTAAAAAAGAGCTAAGGTATTCTAATTCTACCTGTGATAGTACATAGCAGGGATAAGAGTATGAGTACCTGTGGGTTATCGTGTGCAGCCTGATAGAAGTCCATGGTGCAGCATATAACATGCAAAGGGCCTGCTCCAGCTCCTATTGAAGTCATTGGGAAGATTTCCATTGATTTAATGGGAGTTGAATTAAATAAAGCTAAATTCAACTCTTACAAGCTCTTACCCACTCAGGCTATCTTGGTTCTTGGGAAGCTGTGGGAACACCAGAGGTCAGAGCATCAGCGGCAGGGTTGGATCAGAAACACAGTGGGTGAAGAAGAAATGCTATACATTCCCTGATTTATAGTGTTAATAAGAAAAACATTCGGGATTATTAACAATAAACAAGTTAATGCAGTTCTTGCTGGAGAAATGAAAATTTATTTCTTAGTTAAAATAAAAAGCATAAACCATTAGTCCTAACTCAGGCAAAACTCACCTTGACTTCTCTGAGTTTTGTCTGAGTAAAGACTGTGTGATTGGGACTTGTGTATATAAAGAATTAACAAAATTGCTGTGTTCAGAGTTTCTTGCCTAGTCATTTACACAGGGAGATGAACCTATGATATAAGACAGGGGTGGGGAACCTAAGATCCGGCCTCCAGGACCCCCCTCAACGCTGTCACTCCAGCCCCCTGCTGTTCCCCTGTAGGACTGGAGCACACAGTCTACTAGCCTGGGCCTGCCTAGGCTCTTGTGTGAGAGAGAAATGTGGGGAGTGTCTTTCTCCTTTTCAGTCAGGGGCCACATCAGTGAGGTTCTTTTCGCTTCTTGCTTGTGTCTGGCCTCCGGCTGGTTTTTCTGTGGTCAGCATCTCATGGCCCAAAAAAGTTTCACCACCCCAATATAAGGTATCAAAGAAAAACAATACAGATCACATGAATACTAGGATCCTAATCCTATTTTAACTGATTTTTAATTGTCAAGATTATTTTTGGCCGAATTTGCCATTCCTTCTCTTCCTTTCCTCTTGTCTGTTGGCTTTGTCCTTTTTTCAAAGCAACTGTTTCTTTCTGGGATGTTTGGCCCAACTATATTTTATTGATTTATACATTTTGTATAATTCCAAGATGTAGGGGCCTGGAGTCCTAGATGAACAATATGTAAGAATGTATAAATAAATGAAGTAGTCTGTGCTCCAAATTTGACCTGCATAGTGCTCCCTGAATTACAAAAATTGGTTTTATTTTTAATTAGTGAAATTACCACATGATAATCTCCTGATTCTAGGCACTAGGTGGCAAATGTGGTTGGATTCCAACCCTGGCTAATGTGTGCATGATGATTTTTCTCCCTTCTCCTCTTTTGTTAACTGGCTAGAGGGAAGAGGGTCTGGAGGAGGAGGTTAAGGAGGGCAGATGGGAGAGAGCTGCAAATGGGACTACAATGGGCCATGTATGACAGCAGCTGTCTTCGCTATCTGGGATTCATAGCGATTTTATCACATTACCCTTGAGGAACATTTAAAAAAAAAAAGCTTGTGTGTATGTATGCACATAGTGCCATACTTTAAGCAGGATCATATCTTATTTTTCTCTGGTGCTGCAGATTCGTGCATAAAGAAGAGCAGAAGTTAAATGACAGCCTTTGTCCCAGAGTTATGCCAACAGTTTTGATAAGCTCATTGATGAAGAGGAACTAAAGGAGCTGTTGACTTATTCCACATAAAAACATTACTAGTTGGGAGAGGACAGTGAAGGAGATATTTGTCACATGGAGAGAAGATTACATTGGCTTGGAAAGTAAATCTTAATTTCAAGCATCAAAGGCTCTATTAGAAACAATGGAGCATAAAGAAAAGAAACTCTGAATTAAAAACTCTGAAATGTATTTGGCAGCATTCTCCTGAAACAAACCACTGTAACTTATTTAACCAAGTGCTTCTGCAGTCAAATAGAGCATTGTATGAATGCTGCTGCTAGTGATGTCTGAGGTCCTTCCTCCATCCCACTTAGATTTACAGTGCTGGATTTGTCTATGGCCATGAAGATTTAACTGACTCTGTTGGAAGGGAGGGAAAATGAGCATCATGTAACCCTTGCAGCAGAGTCACAGGTTCAGATCAGTGATGTGATGTTCTCTAAGGCTTTGTCTACACTGCATATTTTTTGGGGAGAAAATATGCTAATGGGGGACTCATTAGTATATTTTCTGCCATTTCTTTTTGTGCAAGGGGTTTTTGTGCAAAAAGAAGCAGTGTAGCATGTTTTGCACAAGATCCTTACGCCTGTCCCGGAGAGAGCAGAACTTCCAGTAGTCAATAGTGTGCAGTAATGACCAGTTTGAAGCTTCTAGGTAGCCACAGATTCAGTAATCATATATATTTTTCCCATTTACTCAAAGCTTCATACATGAGAAATCCATTTTGGGGGGAGAGTTAAAATAATGTATTTGTTGAGTTTGACTCTGCGTAGTGCTGTCTGGATCACAAGACATGCTCCAAAGGATGTATAGCCCACGCACCTGATCCTGCAAGTGCCCTTCACATCTGTTGAAATTAGTCACTCATCACCTCAAAAGAGGGACTCTGTCTCTCAGGATAAGGCCCTAAAGTAGAACCCCGCACAGATACAAATTCCTACCCTTGAACATGTATATTCACGGATAGAAATCAGTATCCACTGATCCACAGGACTTTACTCCCAGGAGACATGGTGGCCAAAGGAAAGGAATGTAGTGCCTCCGCTCCCAGGAGCTAGCACACAACTTAACAGCTCCTCCCTGCTATGCAGCTGTACTACCACCAGCCCCTCCTCCAATGAGGCTAAATAACCTCACAAGAGACACAGCTGGTAGGGAAGTTGGGGGCAGTACCACCACATGGCCAGGAGGAGCTGCCTGCACAGGGCACTGGCTTCTGCGAGCTGCCAACACCGCGTTCCTCTCCTTTGGCCACAGCGTACTCTGGGAATAGAGCCCTGCAGATCAGCAGATGCCTATTTCCATCCAGAATAGTTCAGATATAGTACACTAGGGCAGTGGTTCCCAATGTTTTTTATACTGAGGACTGGCAAACCCATTCACAAACTTTTGGTGGACTGTTAACATTTTATTTGCATATTAATTCATATGCAAATAATGAATATGCAAATAAAACGTTACCA